CGCAGTGGTCATTTAAAGCTTCATTCTGTACCTCTAATAAAGACTCTTGAGGCTGAATTTGCAGAACAACCACCCACCTACCACATACCTACTTACTAGATCCCCATTTTGGTGCCTCAGCCTAGGCTGTAAGCGCCTGCTTGCAGCGATACACAGAATGCTGGTGGTTTTGTCTTAAACAATGGAAGCACACCGTATGCATGCTTACGTTGTAATTTATCTCTCTGTTCTGAAGGCAGAAGAGCTAACAGGATGCGAGGGCATTCAGTTCGCAACACCAGTAGCCCTGAAAGAATAATTAATCTCTGTGGTTTTCCTCCAGGCTTGAAGTGACCTGCTATACATCCCTCCTATTTGTATACTGCCGCAAGTATGTTAAGTCATATGGTAGATGGGCAGCCCCCACAGTACCTAAATGCTTTTTCACATCACAAAAATAAAGGATCTCTGTCAAGTTTATCTCTGTCGGAAGTTAAATAAACACGTGCCAAAAGGTTCCACTGGTCCCTCTTTACTGTATTTTGTAACCCATCTGCCCCTATGCAGGCTCTTTTCAAGTTTCCCATACTGATACAACAAAAGGATTTTTATGGGCAACTATCAAAATGATAGAAATAGAGAGCCAGGCAGACCTTTAACTCCAGAGGTACTGGAGCATCCATGGGTGTGGTGAGAGAGAGCAGCTACAAACCACATCACGTTCCCATGAACAGCCTGAAAAGCAAAACAGGTGCAGCGCCCTGATAACAACAGCTCCGGCCCAGCTCTGTTCTGCCGATACACGTTATGTATTATCAAATGTAATTCTCAATTGTTGATTTATTTTGGTGGTTGCACTGGTTGCCTGGGGCAGAACAAAGCTGTTCTACTACAATATGCCCTCAACATTTCACTCCACCCTCCAAAACAGTGTTAAAACTGAAGAGATTAAATCTTTGTACTTTATACTCATTATTGCTGTAAACTGCCATTCCTAATGATGCATACGGTACGTGTGCACTGCCGTAAACTGGATTTAATAATGATGCCTGTGATATACAAACATGTACAGAAGCACAGCAGTGAGCAGAGCAGATGCAAGTCTCCAGCCGTGAACGTGAGCTCCTGAACGGGCCAAACGCACACGGTTCAATTCAGCCACCATCCTGCTTCAGTTTCCCTCCCAGCGCCACTCCAGTAAAAGACTGCCACAATATTGATGTGATGTACAAGATCGTCTCACATCAGACACAGGTGTTCAAGCTTACCCCTTCTTTGCTGTGTTTTGGTCAAAGAGCAGTTGTTCGGTAAGCAAAGTCTACAGTTTGCTGTGCTAGCCTTGCGTGCGTTTCAGATTTGCTTAGTGAGACAAGAGCTGTACCTTCTGTACATTTTTTTCCCCAGACTTTTGATTTAAGATGACTATCTGGGCTCGATTCTTTTGCAGGTAGAGGGGAGTGGGTGGGTGCCGTATTCTCTGATAGAAAATAATTCCAGAAAGGAGGGATGCAGGTAGAAGAAAAATACCCGAATCTGTTTCAGGACAGAAGGGATGGCAGTGGGAAGCGCCACCACTGGGGAGAGCTTGCCTCGTCTTCCTAACCGGGTCTCCTGACCGCACCCAGTGACTCAGGCTCAGCATCCATCACACGCCACGTGAAATCTGACCTTCCGCTGCACACCCTTGCCAGCAGCCCGCATCTGTTGAGTCAGAAAGCAATCACCTGATGCTCAATCTCATTTCGCTCATTAGTCCTTGCCTGCGGCTCGTGTACACAGAATTAAAAGTTCATGCATCCTGCCTTTTCTGAGTGCTCTGAGTCATCTGTGAGAGCTTTGCTACCCCAAAGGTGCGACCGAGGCGGTGGAGCGCTGTGCAGCGGGGAAAGATTTGTGGTAGAAAAGGATATTATGATGTGGTATAAATCCTGCAGGAGTTCGTGCCGGAGTCACTTCATTTAAGTAGAGGTGGGTGCGTTGGGGCTTTCTGCAACACACATGATTGAAAGCTGTTCTGGAAAACTGGAAGGGCATTCTTTGTTGAGGCCTTCTGAATTATAGTATTAAACAGTACTAATGACCTTATACTCAATATTCTGATGCCGCTTTGCATTAACTTCATTGATTAACTTCACCCTATTTAAACCAAATATAAAAGGCAGCCCATTGAATCAACTTCTGGATCCACATTAACTGTGCGAGAACCCACAGCCTCTTCGGTATACCTGGAGGATGCTACAATTTGGAGAGCAGACTGTGATTTTACTAAGCGGCCCATACTACAGGATTTCTCTCTCTTTCTGTGCACCCTCTTCTCTTCTCTTCCCTATACGTTCAGCAAGGCACACAGTGGGGCAGGAGCACCCCACGCTCGTGACTCCCGCGGCGATGGCAGCACCTCGAAGCAGCCCGGCTGTGACCCGCATTGCAGTGCCAGCACAGGAGGGAGGCACCTCGCGCTGGGGCACGGCACCTGCGTGGCTCAGAGAGGAGGGACGAGGTGGCTGCAGAGCCCCGATGACACCATCCACTCCAGGTGGATGCCTCTGCACAAGCATTTTTTTTACTCCTGGGGCGGCAGCAAGTGACTCACCAGATGTGGTGGTTGTGACCAGATGTCTGGAATCCTTCTTGGAGAGTCAGTGATGAGTTAACACAAACCTGAATAAAAGTCAGGGATCCACTTAATCCATCCTAGGCTTTGGGGTGTCCCCCCCCTCCACTACCCCCCACTTTCGTGACTTTCTGAAAAGACCCTCAAGCTTTTATACAAGTATTATTTTCTCCTAGCATGCCAGAATTCAGGTTGCATCACATAACGCTCCAGAGCAAGCTGCTGGGATAGGGCTCTGCAAAGAAAGGAGCAAGGAAGGAACAGTTCAGGTCTCTGATTAACCCTTCATGTGTCACAGAGTGAGAAAAGGTGGCACAGACAGCATACTAATTACTCCAGTTTTAATTGATATACCCGGCCTTCACCTTCTCTATTTAAAAATCAGTTTTCTGAATTAATCAGCATCTGGCCTTTACTTCTCCTACCTGTGAAAGATTGAATATTCCCCAAAAGGGCTGAGCATCCCCCAGCGTGCAACAGGAACTGAATCACCGCCAGGGCAAAGCACTATCCAGTGCATGACAGGGCAGGAATTGGCAGTATAACGAAAAAGCCAAGAAACCAAAACATAAAAAGAAGACGGGAAAGCACTTCATCTTCACCTTGATCCTCATTTGAGCCTCATTCAGATATTTAGGTTTTAAGAAGGCTTTTAGAAAACTCTTGAAAAGGTTAGAATCTCATGAGCAGAATCTGTACCTCATGGCTGGGCAGAAATGAAAAACAGGTCACAGTATGGAGACATAAAACATGACTGGACAGAGATGTGAGGAATTACGTATAAAAATATGGAATAATCCTTCTTAATATCACTCAAATTCGCAAGCAGCTGGAGCAGTAGTGATGCCACAACTTGGTAGCTAGATGTGACGTTTCACAGGCTGGTGTTTCAGTCACTGTGGTTAGTTTAATTATTTACAGGGATGCTCTTGACCTTTTTTCTTGTGAGTCAGCTTCAAATTGAAACGTGAACTGTTACATATGTTCATTCACAGCATGCCAATAGTTGTGTGTTTAAAATCTCAGGATGAAGACATTACCAGATCTGCTGCACATAAGATTTGTATTTCATTTGTAATTTACAAACATATATCAGTAGCTATGTAACTGTTTTAAATATAGTAGCTACATACAGCTGTGGATGTTGCAGCGTGATAGCAGGAAGACTGCATGTAAACTTTCCTACCAAAAAAAACCCACCTCACTCCCACATCTAGCAAACATAAAAAGCTGTGTGAGGTGCAGTAATCAGCACCGAGGTAATCAATCTTGGGAACCTACAACTTCATAGGTATTACAGTATCTGGAATATCTGAGCATCCAGGCATATAATTATATGCATTAGACAGTGGAGATATTGGATTTTGCTGGTGACCTTGAAGGGGAGCTTTCTGAAACGGCACATTAGCTGTGAGAGAGGTCTCTAGCAGGAGAGCGAGCGTGCTGTGTTCCAGGTCCTATCCTGCGGGCAAAACGAATTTGGGTGTCTCTTGTAAAGCAAGATTAATGTGGAATGAAACAGGTCGGTGAACAGGAGAAGGATTTCAGGATAAAACAGTATGTTTGTGGGGAAACAGATGCATCCTGCTGTCCCAACTTAATAAGGCTGCTGGCTCCTCTCGGGGACCTTCTCAGCGTGTCTCTCACAGCGTGGGGCTGAGGCAGAGATCAGCAGCGCTTGGATGCTTGGAGAGTGAGTGACTCACCCTGCAAACAATCAGTGAACAGCCATAACAGAAACCTTCCACCTGGGGATATGCTCCTAAACATCGCTTTAGTTCTGCCTCCCCTGAAGTAGTGGCTGTTTCTATGTCTAATTTGCAGCCGGGGAAACTGAGGCATGAGGGGGGGGACGTGACACCCCAGGCTTACACAGCTGCCCTGTGACAGAGCTGAGGATGTTATCCAGACCTCTCGCCGTTCACGCCCAAGCTTCAGCCACAATATAATTTCCCCAGACTTTCTCAGAGACAACCTACGTGGCAGTTTATGCTCTAACGCAGACTGAAAATAGTTCTCTCTTACCTACATACATCACCCCTTCTTTAGTCTTCTCCGCAGCCTCCGTCACTCCCTGCTTGGTCTTTTCGGCAGCAGCCACCACACCTTCTTTAGCAATGGAGAAACCTTTCTTAAAGACATCCATTCTTGTTGCTTGCTAGGGTATGACCCGGCCGATCTGCCTGGGGGACAGCAGCAAAAAGCACCTGCAGACAGGACTGCAACGCGCAGCCTTACCCTCGGCGGGTACTGGGTTTCTCTGCCGGTCCCTCTGCCTTTGCTCTTACTCCTGCGCTGGATGAAGGCAGTGTGGCAAACCTCACAGCCTTCCCCGGCTCTTATTGATGAAGCGCGCTGCAGTGTAGCCAATGCCTGTGAACAGCTGATACTGAAATATTAATGATATGGATCTGCTTGGGAAGATTGAAGAAGGGAGGGGGAGAGGAGGAGAAGGACAACATGGGTAGGTAAGGGACTGTCTGGAAAATTTCCAGACAGATAAAGCTTTTAAAATAAGCTGCAATGCTCTTACTCAGGGATGCTCTCATGTGAAGAGGGAGACTTTTCCTCTGAAGAGCTGAGCTCCTGAAAGGGCATCTCCCCGAGGCTGCAGCAGGAGGCAAACACAAGCTCTCCTGGGTTCCCAGGGGCTGGAGGGCACGCAGAGCTGGTAGCGTTTGTAGCAAACAAACAGGGTCAGGTTTCTTGCTCTGGCAGTTACCAGAACCCGTCCTGCACAAACCCCTATCAAGAACATTATTTCTAGTAAATACTGAGAGAAAAAGGGAACCAGCTAGAGCTTGGCACTCAAGCGAAGGGAGCTGGAAGCCCCACCTGCCACGTTTGTCAGGTCTGAAGTTGGCCCCTCAAGGCATTAAGTATAAATTACATTTTTTTACTCAGCTGCACATCCCGTTACAGTGGTTCATTTCTGAAAAAATCAGGTGCCTGTTGGGGGAAATCCTGTTTCCTATTTGTTTCTCTGAGTTGCTGTAGACAGAGCTCCGCCGCTGCAGCGTGAGACGACGTTTTACACCGACGCCGTCGCTCTCGTCAGAGGTCTGTGCCGCAGAGCACAGCGGGGCGAGGAGATCACGCGCCTGAGAACTGACTGGGGAAAGCTTACAGTTTGCAGGATCCATCCAGCCTCAAGGCCTCCCTAGGAAAAAATACCAAAACGTATCACCATTAATCACAGTCGGATATCCTAATGTGCTTAAAGTTAGAATCAAGCGAAATTGTTTTCTGAAGTAGATTCTGAGTGGCCCAAATGAGCTATTGTCCCGCTCGCACAAACTGAAATTCAACGCAAGCACCTGTGAAAGCAATTGTTGGTGCAACAAGGTGATTATTTATTTCTGTTATTATTTAATGGTACCGTATCTGAAACTACGGAAGCCGTGCAGCACTGGTCTCTCAGCACAAACCCCAACCAGCTTTGGCTGCTTTCCCTTACCAGGCAAATAGAATACAAAATTCAGAGGTTTAATTGCAGTATGGGAGGGTAGCACACCGCAATGTCGTGAAGTGGAGTGCTCCGTAAGCCACTGCTGCCACAAGTTACCAGCCTGGAAGGGTCAGATGGGGAATGACTACAGAGAAAAGACAAAAGTCTGAAGAAAAAAATGACGTGTCGGTACATATACGCAGACACATACACAAACATAGTTTTTACAGTGGAAGCAAGCTTATTTCTTTAGGTTTGGGGATTTTTAAATTTTTTTTTTTTACTCCATACTGAAACAATTGAAAGACTGGTGATCTGGAAAATAACGTGCAGATCTCTTAATCTTTTTCTCACAAATGGGTCCCCTTACTTATAATTCAAGAACAAATTTCCATTTGAATGTAGAGTAGCCAAATCTCTGACAGACTAACAAATGTATCAATTGTTAATTAAAAAGAGTGCAAGATTCAGAGGAAGGCCATCACAACATACCAATTATTATAAGAGCTTGTTCTAGACAGTTGCGGCAAGGAGTGAAAAAAGGTTTTTCTAACCATTTTTCAAAATTTCCTTTAGGTGGCTGATTGACTGCTATCCAAGGTGCAAGGCTGGGGCTCATTTCTGCTCCCAGTGTATTCTTAACCTGAAGATATATGTGTCTTACTGCATCACACGGCCAGTGGTTTAAGCTAACTGCTCTCGGAGCTGGTCGCAAGACTCCCATTGATTCCGTTAGGCACAGGGCAGGAGCCTTGTTTTTACTATATTCGGTAAAAAGTGAGTTTGCCATCTTTGAGAATTGCTACCGGGCCCATTTCCTTTCGCGCTAGGCTTTCAAAGAGCATTAAAGCAGAGCAGAGGGCTTCCCAGGGTTGTGGGTTTTACTGGTATTTTCAGAACGCCTACCCTGATAAGGCTGAGAGAAGTGCGTTTTGGTTTTGTTAAGCTCTTGCTCTGCATTGTGATTTGTACAATTGAGTTCTACGTATTTTGCATTGCTATAAAAGGTAACAAATACATGAAATATCAAAGCATCCTGGGATGTGAAACATGAATCATCACTAGATTGAGCTAGCCAGTACTCAAGTGGGATACTCCTTTCCTGCCTTCTCCTCTCCCAGTGACCTTCAGAAAGAGCTCACAAGAGGCACTGAAATGCTGTTGGATCACTCCCAAGGCAGCAGACAGTTTGCGCAGGCATTGTTTTACCTTGAAACCCTTTTAGGAATGCTCTGGACTCCGGACAACATTGTAGGTGATCTATACAGGGCCAGCATCAATAATGGCTCCTGAACTTTTGCCAGCCCATGGCAACTGTGGTACCCTCTTCTGTTCTAAGCAGAGGATTCAGTTCTGATTTGTTGCCAATCCTGTCTCGGGCAAACCTAACAACAGGAGTTCATGTAAGCAACCTTGGCTTTCAGATTTTGCAAGCATCTCAACTTTGTGCCTGAAAAACAATTTTCCCCTTATATTAGATAACATAATCTGCAGCTAAAGACAAGCTCCTCCAGTGGGCAATTTAGAGAACTCAAGTTCCCATCTCACCTGGCAGCAGCCTCTTTTTCTCTGTTATTTACCTTGGGACACTGGGGACAGTCAGTTTAGCTAGACATTAAGTTCCCATTTTTTTTTCTATCGCGTTTCATCCATATCACTTTGTATACAAATTTGTACCTCACAAACATTTAGCTGACCTGCACAATACGAAAAGAAAACCGCGTCTTGATTTGTGCAATGACAAACCATCCAACTGCCGTTCATTTAAAGACTGAATTCTGGCTGCTCGGGCTTGTTCGCTGACTCTCTTGCTGCAGAACACAGGTGTTGGTGGCTAATACCTGGAAGCAGGCCTGAGCAATGCCTGCCAGTAATTCTGGAATATGGGCAAGACAAGTCTAATTCAAGGCTACCTATTCCCAAAGCATGGACGCAAGGGAAAGAAAAGAACGCACAGCAGAAATCAAGATTCCCCGTCCTCTACTGCCTGACTTTTCTGTGTGTCTGCAACAGATTAAAACAGGATTTTACTTAATTTGTGTCTCTTCCCTCTTTAATTTTCCCAATTGCAACAAAAACTTAACCTTGCCCTTTAACGGTGAACTTAACACTGGAGACTATCAGCCACCAGAGGCGTCATGCTGGATGAAAGGAGTGGGATTCAGTCATGTTCTCTTGAAGTATTTAAATGGTGCATGATGTTTTAAGACAGGTAAGGAAAGGAAAGACAGACCGCTTTTGTGGCTGGTAAATATCCTCTGCTCAGGAAGTTCTTGTATGGAGAACAATATTAACATAAACAGGATCAAACCTTGCGCTATATAAACAGAAATGCTCCCTCTCTCTCTCCCCCCGTTTATGAAAACTTCAAAATGCCGAAAGGAGAACTGTCTCAGACTCTTCATTTTCATGCTCTAACAAAAACAAGCAGTTCTGTCTGACATCCTCTTGGCAAACAGTTCAGGACTCGAATCCCTGCATGTACGTTTGCATAGCTAATGAGTAATTTCCTCTGCCAGGGAAGGAATAGGGTGAAGGCTGACGGACGAGCCATTTTTAAGGCACACATGCAGCGCGCAGAGCGCTGCCAGTACAGCACTCAGCAGTCTTTCATGACTGATCTCTGCCGTTGAATACCACTGATAGCTTGTGAGCAAACTAATAGAAAATAGAGTCAACGAGAATTCATCTTCCTTCTCTGAAAGACAGGACACCGAAAGGAACCCTTCCGAGCCCCGCAGCCCCCCTCCCAACACTCCCCTCCCCGTGCTCCCCTTCTCCGGAGCTGCTGCATAGACACGTGTGCGTGCCGGCCGCGGGCAGGGAATGAGACAGCGTTTTCTGAAAACCGATGCCTAATGAGAAGTTATCCCCTCGCTGTGCAGCTATCCACAAAACCGTCCTATTCATCTTCCCAGACATAAACCCCTTACAGTTATTCAGTCTGCTTCGGAGATTTGGAGCTGGGATCTATGAATCTAAAGCAACACACGCTTATTAAAACAATGCCCACATGCTCATTAAAACAATTCTAGCTTTTCTTGGCTGTTAAAACATTTTTCCAAGGCTTTTTTTTTTTTCCTTTTAAATACATAGATTCTGTATATTTAATTAATATTCTATAATTAAGAGCATTATGGAGCAGGCAGTGAATCTGGGAAGATACAAAAGGAACAAAAAAAGTATCTGAATCTATTAATTGAAAATTTAATTTCTAAGGACTCCTCTTCCAGAGAGACACCGACTGGAAAAGCCAGCACATTGGCTTTCCAAGTACGTACCAGCCATTTATCAAGCATATTGTTTGGCACTGTTTATCGTGTGGTCACCCACCTCCTACCCAGCTGTAGCTGCAGGGCTCCACAGGGCTCTAAACAAAATGAAAGGGGCCGAGACCAGATTTCACATCTTACGCAGGTTATCCAGAAGACTTGATTATGGAATTGCAAGCGGGACATTGAATTCTCAGGGTGGGCAACATTGGAAGGGGTTAAGAGCTGTGTTTAGTGGAAATTATTATAATTACAAGGCAAAACAAGTTTGAAGTCTGAAGACTAGTTTGAATGCTTGGAAGAAGTATTTCTCAGAAATACCTGGGGAAAAAGTATTGTCATGAATAAGGGCACAGGGGAAAGAAGAGCCACTAATGACTGGGGACCAAGAATGGAGGAAGAGTATCTGTCACCTGTCAAATATAGTTGCCAAAATAAAGAGCAAGTGAGGTGGATTTTTTTGGCCAGCTGTTCTGAGAACTGCTAG